TCCAGCCCTCAACCCCTACAGGTCAAAGACCTCATTTGACTGGAGGTGGTCATACAAGTTCACACTACTTCATGAGGTAAAAGACCAGGTTTTACTGCCAGCAGTCACAAAGGGGTGCTATGCCCAGCTACTCCACTCACTTGGGGACCAAACACCACCCCGAGCTCTGTGACTCTTGGTGGGGTCAGACTGGACGTACGTAGGGAACGTTCACTTTCTGATCTGTCGGAGTACCAAGAGTTAGGTCTGGAGGATGCAGTTGCTTCGGCCCTTTCGGCTCCCTGGGCTCTCTGAGTCGGAGCAAACAGAACCGTCACCCACGTAATCCGCCAGGGCCAACGTGTGGGAAGTGAGTCGAACCATTCAGAAATGGACTCTTGGACCTCTTCTATCTCTCATGCCAGTCAAGTTCGTCATTCAGACCTTCAAGTGCTAAAAGGCACATCATGTAGCTCTCAAACTGCGGTCGAGGCACGATAAATGTGGCCGATATTGGAGCATGGCATGACCTGAAACACCAAACAAGCAGCAAAGCAAAGGAGTGCAAACCCTTCGGACAACCTCTCGTGAAACCCGAAACGTCAGTGACCATCTTTCAGGTGTTCTGTAGACACCACTCTCTACATAGAACAAACACATCATAAGAATAAACACACATGCGTGTTCAGAACTTCTTGGAAAAAACACTTGCCCTGCGAACATCCAGACCTTCCGTCTTCCAGGAGGTCACGTGTTAAAAAGAAAAAAACTGTAAAATAAGACTCAAACAGGTGCCAAACTTGGGGTGCCCATGATCTACTCACTTAGGGACTAAACACATCTAAACACCACCCTTTTGTGACTCCTGGTAAAAGGAAACCGTGGTTTTCGATTAGATGGATGTTCTTCGGTTTGCATTCTTGGAGTTGTAAAGAGCCCAGCTTTATCAGTTATACTCCCGAGAACTGACATGGACCCGCGAATGGCACCCTGAAAGACGTTCTTTCTCTACCTGCACCAGCGGTTTTCAAGGTCTATTTCTTCGTTTGCAGCGGGGCCGGCATAATATGCTTCCTCATATGGCATGAGTATTAAAATACGGACGCCTGCCCACAAGAGCCTGCCAACAAGGTTCGGAACATAGACCAGTCTACCCAGACACTCCATGTATGCCATATATGCCGATCAATTGTCAACCACCCCAACTGATCGGTGAATATGACAGTCCCAGTAGTGTTTGGGTCATATATATATATATATATATATATTCAACCCTTTCCTTTCCAGCGAAAGCGACCAGCTCGGAGCGAGCGAACAGCGGCTCGGCAAGCCACACCGCGAACCGAACGGAGCGAGCTCTCGGCCTCCAGCGTACCGCCACACATCCAGATGCGGAAGGACATCTCTACATGCTCGGCACCTTGGCACAAGGCAGGCCGCGGCTTGGCAGAGGTCAGGCTGTACATGAAAAAGCACATCCGTCACCACGCTGAGTTGCCATAGTAGCGGATCTCCGGGTCATAGCCCCCAAGCTCCCAATAATACTCCTCAGCGTCAGCGCAGCCAAAGACGTGGAGTTGACGACTGGGCTACCTGAAGAAGGCCACAAAGTAGGCACACAAGGAGGAGGACCTTTCTGGGTGCAAATTGAAGTCAACATCTCAAGTCCAGAAACTAAGATGTTTCCCTCACCACGTAAGAGTACCATCAAATCATCAAACTAATTATAAGCTACCCTCCCTATGACAAAGCCCTCCAGTGTCCAACAAATCCTCGACAATGTCAGGCCGAAAGGGTGGGGTTGTGAAAGAGCGTACACGCCGAGTCTGCAGAAGACTTCTGCCACGACGTGGGGAATCTTGCGGAGACTTCCATGGAGGAGATCGAGGATATTGGAGGGGGCAAGTCGGAGCGGCTAGGATCTTGGATGCATGGAGCCACCAGCGCCTCAACATCAAACCCAAAAGATTTGCTTCGGGGCAAACCAGGGCAAAGAGAGGACAGACAACCAGTACTTGGCGACTGCGGCCGTGTCTCCATGATCTACACCGTTGCGGTTCCTTGATGACAGTGCCCCATCCTTGGATTTCTTCGGGGGAGTACGTACGTGTTAGCAATGCGGTGCACAAGGACTCGAAACTTGTGTCCATATCCCGTTCTCTAGTGTGAAATTGGTTAAAAGATTAAGTGCAAGGCACCATATCAATAGAATCAGAAACAAATAGAACTATAGTTGCTAGTTGAACTAATATTGAAGAGAATGACTATGTCCGGATAAATCCATATATTGACATAACATCTCTTGGCGTTGGCTTGTGGCTTAAACACCGACCTAGCCCAAACGCTCCAAGGAAGCTCCCCGAGGGACCACAATTACCAGTTTGCCATTCTGAGGTTTTCGGGGCACTTCGCACATGAAAACGACCTTCTCCCCAAGGATCGCGTCGTCAGAGCTCTCCGTCCATCCTCCCCAAGAGCTCGCCCGGCCAAAGCGCTCGGTCCATGGCGAAGAGCCCGCCCGGCATGACCGGGGAGCGCCAGACGGAGGCCTTGTGGTGGAAACGAGGACGGAGGATAGTCAGATCGGTGGTCCGTGGTGTTCCACCTGATGGAGAAGGGATCACATGCTAAAGGCAGTATAGTCCAGTATAGTTCTGATGTAGAGAGGAAGTGGTTCTGATATAGAGTGTAAAGGGAGCGATGCCTTCATCTAATTAAGGGTTCCGGCCATTCTGGCAACAGCAAAGAGGTGGCATAGTTGGGATAGTCACCAAATACAAAATATGCTGCACGCGTGTATCGGGAAGCGTTCTTAATTAATTATGTGAATCCATCTGAATCCTTCCAACATTGAGAAACCTCTACCTCAGAATGTTAACGTTTTGCGTTTCTGGAAGGATTGCAAGTTGCTTTTGCGTTGCCACAATGTCGCTGGTCGTCAGAAAAACACCCTGGAAACCCTGTTTGGTATTCGGAACATCGTCTTCCAAGGGAGCATTTTCGACTTTCATGTTAGTTCAAGGGAGTGTACCAAAAACAAAACAACCACGCAACCGTCAGCAAGCCCTGGTTCAACCCGTGGTGCACCTGCCTGCTCTTCCGGGACTGGTCTCGGATTGGGGGGTCACACCCTCTGGCACCCCACCTAGTGGAAGGGCTTCAAGGGGCGGACAGCGAAACCGCAAGTCGTGTGGGAGTTAACCATCCACTTTTTTACACTTCGTGCAGCTGTTGGATGTGCCAACATCACCCTAGAGTTAACCATATAGGCAAAGCCAGGTGAATCAGCGACTGATGTCACCCTTTCTGCCACGCTGCATGACAACCACGGTGGGTCGTGATCAAAAGGGGCGATGGTGACGATGGCTGCTGGAAGTCTATAAAAGGGAAACAAGGCCCGGCGCCACATCAATCATATCAATGCAACTGGGCTGCTTCCTTCAGAACCAGCCCCCCTATTCCCAATTCAGGTGTTGCTTTTGGGAACATGCCAGCCCCACCTTTTTGGGAACGCCCAACTCCGATGGGCGGTCTGCGCCTTGCTGCCCACGTCCTTCTCCAAGATGTCCAGGTCCTACCGCCATCTTCGCGCCGCAAGGAACAGTGGAAGCTCCCGAGCGAGTTCGCGGCGATCGGAGAAGAAGACGGAAGGTGCTTGTGGCGGGGGGAGATGTCTAATTTGATTGGCAGGAGGTGGGAGAATCATGTTTTCTTTGGAACTCATGCACTGGCAATAGGCATCGATCGGAAGCCCAGGGCTGTCTTGGGAATGTGGATGCACACGAGGGAGGTGACTCAAGCGGAGCCAAAGCGGTGCTGTAGATCCCCAAGACTCTTGGCATTGCTGACAAACAAGTTCTCCTCCACCATCTAATCTAAGGAACCTTACCTTCCAGCATTCTGGGAAAGTGGATTCTCTATCTTTCCACCTCTCTGATCCTATCTGATGTCACCAGCAAAAATCACCCGTCCTCACACCCACCTCCCTGTCCTATCACCCCTCATCCTGTCACCGCTCTTCACAAACCAATCCACGTCTCCTCACCCCGCCCCCAGTCGACCACCCCCGCCCCATAGACCGGTCCATGTCAGCCGCGGCACCAATGAAGGTCAAGCGCCAATTGAAGATGCCCCGCACCGGTGGCCATGCGGAGCCACCTGGCGTCTAGCGAGCGGCTGGGTGACGTCCGAGTAGACGTCACCGAGGTGACGGTGGGTTCGTGGGCTCTCCAAGTGACGGTCGGTGTGGGTGGCCGCCCAGGTGGAAGAGCCCTAAGCTTACTTAGCCTTCTGTTCGAGCATTTCAAGCATGGTGGACCTGGTTTTGTAGTGCCAAAGTCTTGAGTACAGCAATGTATGAATGGTTGCTTGGTGGGAATCACATAAAATGGATCGTCTATTCGTCTATCTACACAACCAAGTAACAACCCTAAGTTTACACTGTCCATGGCTGAACCCTCGTGCCATGTGTTTAATATACTCCCTGAAATCATCATGGAAATGGATGGAACATAGGCCTCCTGGAAGACCATTTTCCAAAGACCAAACAGGTCGGTGAACTCCGCTGCCATGTTGACTTGGAGTATATCGGAGTGCAGGTGTTTGGCCTGTCTTTGCACCACATGATCTTTATTGACTATTTATTTGGTGTGTGTCTGCAAGAATAGTTGTTTCTCCCTTCTATGTTTTACCTTGTGTTCACTGATATGAGGAAAGCGTCAACATGCCATCATGAACCTGGAAAATAGACTATAAACACAGCAAACTGCAACTTCTGGAGAAGAGAAACCTGGCTGGAAATGAAAGGAGTCACAGCGCTGCGCGCGTGCGCTGCCCTGGAACATCAAGAACCTGGTTGCCCAACACTTTCCTGATGACTCACGACTGGGGATTCAGGGGCCATGAAGCCACAGGCCAGTTCCCGACGTGAAGAAAATCAACTGATGCTCCATCCGCTGCCAAGTGGCCAATGAAGTCCAACTCATTGATGTCGATGGCCACGATATTGGGCCTGATCCACATAATACGCATAGTACGCATATCCTGAGAAGGGGGTGGTCCAAAGCCATTTGATATGCATAATGCGCATATCCTTAGAAGGGGGTGGACCGTCCTACGGCCATTTGATACATCGCAAACGACTCAAAGGCATGTGGATCCCTAGGACAGGGCAAACACATTATATCTATTCCATAACAATAAAAGTACATGGCACAGAAATACTTAAGAAGGACTCATGTTGCCTGGATAAGAGGATATTCCTTGCACTTAGTCTATAGATCTTAGATAAACTAAACGCGACGCACGACCACCGAGTCACACTACCACGCGCTTGCGGTCTTGGTGGATGCGTGCCAGCAAAGGCTCCTCAGTGGTCCGCGATGACAGGCCCAATAAAGCAATGAACATTAACATCACCATATACGTCTAGTATGGTCTAGTGGCATCTACAAAGTAGAAGCTAGATCTTCTTCTTTGAGCACACACCCATAAACAAAATGTTCAATCATGTTCAATCTATCTCTGCAGGTGATTTGATAAAACCACTAATGCGCACTCGTGTCCAAAGAGCAAGGAACTGGATCAAAACCGGGAGAAAATGAACAGAATGGACTCGTGACTAGTACGGAGGTCAATCTACCCTGGTTTGGGGATCTGGGTGCCATGACCTACAGCCATATGGGTGTGTATCAAAAATAAGAAGACCTCCGAGGCGTTGACAAGGTACGTAATGTGGCGACTCTTTTGAGGTTGAAAGAACTTGTTCTGTTGGATTCTACAGAACAGTCCCTAGGGATCCAGTCGTAGCCAGTCAGGTGATGTGTTCGCCATTGAGAGACATAGGTGCCAG